TGCCCCCTCGGCACCCAGCGCGGCATCTGCATAGAGCTCTGCCCAGGGAGAGGCCCCCTGTGGAGGTGGGCCAGCCCCGCTCCGCCCCCACACGTGTGTGTGTAAATCCTCCGCTGGACCATCTGGCCCCGCGACGCTGCTGCCCGTTCCCCCTTAAGTCCTATAGAGTCCTGAACTGTCGAGAACAGGAAAGAGCCCACGTCTGGGGAGGGCTGAGTTCTGGTTCCAGCTCTGCCTCTGACTCAGGCCAGTTCCCACCCTCCCTTGGGGCCTGGGGCTGGCCTCCCAGACCCCAACCCCCGTGCTCAGCCCTCTAGGGCCTCCTTATACCCACTCTGGGCTCCGGCTTCCTCAGTTTCCCCCTCATCCTGCTTTCCCTATTCCACCTGAGGGGAGAAAACAAGCCTGAGCACATGGAGGGCAGAGAGGAGGCCTAAGGGGTGGGGGGTGGAGGTAGGACAAGTCTCTCGCTCACAGCGACTTGGGCCCCCTACGCAGCTGTGTGGCCTTGGGCAAGGCTCTCAACCTTTCTGAGCCTCAATCCCTCATCTAGGAAGGAAGGATGGAAAATCCTCAAAGGATGTTGTGAGCGACAACATGGCCCCATGTAAGGGACTGTCCTGGGGACAGAGCTGGTAAAGGGCTGTGGCTGCTCCGGAGAGCCAGCCTTTTAATTGATCGCACCTTTCTAAGATATTTTACATTGCTCCCTGCCTTCTTGCATTCATTCGACAAATACTGTGTGCTGAGCCCCATTCTGGGGGACTGAGCAATGAACAAAGTAGAGGGAACTCTCTGCCCTCACCCCGCTGATACTCAACTGCAGGGAGACAGACCACGCATGGGAATCGGTAAGCTGCCTCCCCGGTGCGCCCTGCAGAGACCTGACTACTGAGAAGAAAGGAAGCGGGGGCGGGGCTGGGACCGCAGTCACAAACAGGAGGTCAGGATGAGATGTAAGCAGACCCTGGGCTGAGGGCAGTCCTGGGGAGCTGCTGGTGGAAGGAGCAGGCCCTGGGGGTGAAGTGCCAGGTAAGATTGGGGTGCATCTCAGTCACAGGTGGGGAAAAGAAGCCTGGTTTGGGGGCCTGGTGGGCCATGACCAGGACTTTGGCTTCTACCCTGAGCTGGACGGGAGCCCCTGGAGGGCTGAACAGAGAATTCTGCACATTGCTGTCTGGACACGTGCAGGACCCCAGGGAGTCAAGTCAGAGGCTCCTGCACAAAGCCCACCAGTGGGGACAAGGGAGGTGGTGGGACAGGTGCTTGGATTCCCTAACAGACCAGAGGTGGCTGTGGAAGAAAAATTGCCAAGACGATACCGAGCTTTCCAGCCTGAGCAGCTTGAAGGAGGGCAGGACAAGATGGGGAATTCAGGTGTGGAGGTGTCCCTTAGACATTGCAGTGGAGACATTGGCGGGGTGGGTATATGGGTTTGGAGGTCAGCAGAGGGTCGGGGAGATGTGAATCTGGGAGTGGTCAGATCAGAGATAACACTTAGAGCCAAAACACTGGATGGGATCCCAAGGGAGTAAAGGTTGATGGGCAAGAGGAGGGACCAGGACAGAGCCGAGGCTCTGCCACAGTTATGTTTCAGGGAGAGGGGACAGAGCCAGCCGGGGAGATGAAGATGGAGCAGGAGGGGAGGTAGGGGGAGAGCCGGGCATGGGGAGGGCGGGTCCTGGGAGTTCTTTACGAAGGAGAGTGAGATCATCAGTGTCACAGGCTGTGTCACGGGTGAGACCAGGACCGAGAATTGGCTGGGTCTCATGCTCCTCAGGCGACCCCACAGGGCCTAGCCTGTGCCAGGCACACAGTGGGTCCTCCACTGGTACCTGAGCTGGAATACCAAGGTCAGCGGTGCTTTCCCGGCCTGACTTGATCGATGGGAGAGAGGATGGCAACTGCCCAAGGTCAACCAGCAAGGTGGGGACCTGAACCCAGACCCTGTCTTGGGGTTGTCTCCAGCCTGAGCTGCCCGAGCCTGTGTCGTCTGGGCTCTGTCTGACTTCAGACAGGGCCTCCCTTTGCCCGCTGTGCATTGGTATAGACGGGCATGGCTGGCAACTGCCAACTGGCCTGCCTGAGCTAAATCTGGCCCGCCAGCATGTTGTATTTGGCCTGCACAAGATTTTTATTTCTTTCTTTCTTTCTTTTTTTTTTTTTAAACATTTGAGCCAACATTTAAAAATTGGGAGTTTACATTTTCAAATCCATATTTTTGGCTTCTACTGAAAATTTTGGAAGATCTGGCAATTCTGTCCCACATTCCCACGTGGCAACAGTCAGGGGAGCTGGGAAACAGCTGCCCCCTCCAGAGGCACTTTGGGGGTCCCCCACTCAGAAGTGGCACTGTCCACACCTAAGCTTACTTTACCAATCGGGAGACTGAGGCCAGGATGGTAGAGGGACTTGTTCAAGGTCACTCAGGGGGAAGGCTTCTTGGACAGAATCCAACTGCAGCACCGGAAACTGGCATCGAGAGTATTGTCACAGCCCCACCCAGGCCATGACCCTGGCTCTGTACCTCCTGCTCTCTTCTTGACCCTTTTGTTCTCAGGAAAAGGCTGGCTTAAGTCATTCACACTATAGTACGAGTGAGCCTCAGTTATGAGTCTGCGACAGCTGGAGGTCCTAGACACTTTCTACAGTAGCCTCTTGTTTGCTGGACAATGAAGGGGAAGACCAGGGATTCACCCATGGACACTCAGCCAGACAGGACAGAGACAGGACTGAAACCAGGGCTCCACCGGTCAGTGGCTTCGTCCCAGACGTAGTTAATGGTGGAACCCCAGGCACTGCGTCTAAGATGGCGCTTTCAAGTTGGTGACTGGAAGCCAGAGGTCTGACCAGCTTCCCCAACCCCCCTGCCCTCCATCCTGGGAAGTGTTCTGGGGACACAGGCTTGTCCAGGCTAGGAAAGCAGGAGGCACTCAAATCAACAGACAAGTCCCCGAGAGGGGTTGTCATCATCTTTACCACCGTCATTATCCCAGAGGCTGAATTCCTACTTCGTGCCAGGCCCCTTCATCAGTTATCACTAGACCCCTCCCCAATGAAGGCACTGAGGGCTTCACCCAGCCAGCGCACAGCCCAGCAAGGAACCTGTGGGCTCAGCTTTCTGAGCCTCAGTTCCTGGTCTGTAAAATGGGCCTGATCCTAGCATCGCTATCACAGGCTTGCTGTATTTGATAGTATAGTAGGCTGGCACTGAGGGGGCTCAGAATTGGCGCTCCCCAGGTGATATGTCCTGGGGCGTGGGGCAGGGGTAGGGGCGGCATGCAGAGGGAGTTAGGCCTGGAAGCGGGAGCCTCCAAGGCCAGGTAAGGCCTACCTCTCACTTCAAGGTACCAACCCCAGCTCCTCAGGAGGGACTCCCCCACCCAGGCCCCAGGACACAGCCCCACTCTCCAGCACCCACTGCTGAGCCCCAAACAGGTTCTTGTGGCCCTGTGCTGCTTGGCAGCCCCACAAGCCACATGTGAGGAGCCTTGGGACAGAATCCTCCAGAAGCCTGGGAATCACAGAGACTCCTTTGGGGCCTGGTGGTCTCTAGAGTGAGGTCTGCAGGGTATGCAGAGCCCAGAGCAGCCAAGAGGTGGGGGTCCCAGATTGCCAGACCCTTGTGGAGGAGGCTGGCAATATGATGCTTATTAGGTCCTTGCATAATTACTACTTTTGTACCACTAGGGAAACTGAGGCCCAGTGAGGCCGGGCTGACTATACAGCAGGCAGCCAACCCTCAAGCTAAGATTCCACCCAGCGCTCTCAGGCCCGGTTGGCCACAGCAGACCCACAGGGAAAGGGCTGGAGGGTTTCAAATAACTGGACTCTCCTCCAGTGGCCTGCTCCACTATTCCTGGGGAGCGAGCAGGTCTCTGGAGGGCAAGTGACACCAGAGTGGCCGAGGTGCAGGGCAGAGGTGAAGATGCCTGGGTCCAGCCCTGGTCCTCTGCATGATCTCTCTGTGCCTCAGTTTCCTCCTTTGTATATTGGGAGCATAGTAATGGCACTGACCTCCTGGAGTTGCACCAAGGCCTGGGATCAGGAGCTTATAACAACACTAGTAAATATTCAGCGAGCATCGGCGGCTGCCACCACCCAGAATCTGTTTTTAGAACAGAACCTCTCCCTGAAGGAAAGCCATTCTGGGAGGTGCCTGGTCAGTATCCCAGCAGCCCAGCCCTGCAGCCTCCACCGCAGTCCTGTGCTGGATGAAGCTGGGATCCAGGATCAGGACATGGGGGTAGGGCAACATGCTCGACAGGCAGCCCAAGGACCCTCCCCAGCCCCAGGGATCAGAGATGGTTTGGGGCATGGAAGGTCAGTGCCAAGGTGGGGGTGCCATCACATCTGGGTGAGGTCTCGCCCTCCTGACTCTGCACAGCTCCATTCCCAGACAGCCTAGCAGGTCACACCAGATCTGCCCATCTGCTTGTCCGTCCATCTGTCTGAGGCCACAGTGTGCGTGTGCATGCGTGCGCGTGTGTGTGGGGGGGATGGGATGCTGACAAAGAGACTTGCAGTCCAACCCCAGACTCCCCATGTCACCTGGGGCAAGCGGCAGCCTGAGAGTCTCAGTTTCCAACTCCATAAAATGGGGACAGCTATGAAGGACATTGGGCACCTAGCTGCCTGACAAGACTGTGACGTCCGCCTCACGTGGAGTTGTCTGAAGCTCAACAACTTAAAAGAACAGTCACAGGAAAGCCCGTGGTAAAGTGCCAAGGGCTCCACTAGTGGGGAGGGGATATTATTACTGTTATCAGTACTGTTTACTTGTGTAACTTGGTCCAGCAATAGTTTGCCTGCTCCAAAGCCAGAAATTTCACTTTAGAGCTTCCCTCTCTTGGCGCTGAAGTTCTTTCCAGCTACAGGTATTATAAAAGGGTGTGATGAGGGACCTGGGAGGGGGTCAGTCAGGACTTGTGGGGAAAGGGCACACGCGGGAGGGAAGTGACCTCAGCGGGCCTCTGCCTGGCTGCCTGCTGGGGACTCACCCGGCCTGGGGGCCTCCAGGGCGAGGCAGCTCGGCCTCCACGCTCGCCGCTGCGCGTGACGGTCCCACCGGCCTCCACTGCGCCGCCTGGCACCGCTCCACTTGCAGCTTCAGCTGCTGCCTTCGAGCAAAGCTGGGGGCTCAGGGCCGGGTCCTCCTCTGGGGCTGCAGCCCCTGCCAGGGGCTCCAGGGCCAGGCCTGAGCCTTGCTCATCTGGGGAGGGCTCCAAGCTGCGGCTTCTGGGCACCCTGAAGGCCTCCAGGGTCCCGGGGTCCAGCACCCGCACAGTGACCTCATCTAGGAACCTGGAGAAGGGCAGTCTGGCCTCCCGCCGGTAGCCCAGGCGTGCGAGGGAGCCCGTGGCAGCCCTGCCACCTGTGTTCAGGGGCTCCAGGGTGGACGGCAGGTTAGGCGACCCCCGTGCCTTCTCCTGGCCGGGTTGCGCTGCCCAGCTGCGGTAAGACGCCTTGCCCTCGGAGTTCTGACCTGGGCTGGGGCTCAGCTTGCGGCTTCGGAGGTCCTCTCTGTGTGCTTCCCTGATGGGGGCCTCCAACCTGGTCTCCATGAGGGAGCCGTGGCCGTCCTGCCTGGGGCTGGCGGGATCAGGGCCCTGTGCCTGGGACCCAGCCCCTGAGAGCATCCTACTTAGTCAGCCCAAGGTCACGCCTCTCCAAGAGAGTCTTGCTGACCCCCACTCCGCTCCTTCCATGGGGCTGAAATCCCTACACCCTCTCAGGGCAGGGCAGTCCCTCACTGGCCAGGGCAATCGGCCAAATGCCTGCCTGCCCATTGATCTAGAGAGCACGTGGCAGGTCCTGGCGGCCTCCTGCCCCCAAATCAATTCTCACTAAATGGGAGCTGAGCTTTGGGGCATAGAAAGTGCTAGAGAGGAGAAGGTCATGTCCTGGGCTCTGCCTGGGAGGCAGCCCGCACTGAATGCGCAGGGCCTCGACTGGGTCTCACTGCTCTACCCACATGTCTCCTTTGCCAGGTGCAGTGCTGGGTGCAGGGGCTTGGAGAGGCAGGCAGTGTAACCATCACGACAGTGTGCACACACACCCGAAGGAGGGAAACCAGGACTACAACAACCTGGCAGAGTGGGATACCCACATGTCTCCTTTGCCAGGTGCAGTGCTGGGTGCAGGGGCTTGGAGAGGCAGGCAGTGTAACCATCATGACAGTGTGCACACACACCCGAAGGAGGGAAACCAGGACTACAACAACCTGGCAGAGTGGGAGGGTGTGGCGGAGACCACCAGCTGCCCACCGTTCTCCCATTCTTCCTTATTAAAGAATGCTCATTTTATTCGGGGATGCAAGATACCCAGCTAAAAGACTGCACTTCCCAGGCTCCTTTGCAGCCAGGGGTTAGCCAGTGAGGTACAAACAGAAGATGTTGTGTGTGACTGCTGGGAGAACTTCTTAAGTGGGATCAGACTGCTTGCCTGTGACCTTTCTGCTCCCACTCCCTGTCCTCCTGCTTCCCCTCTGGAACACGGAAGTGATGGTTGGAGCTGTGGCAGCCACATTGCATCATGAAGCAAACCTGTGGCAGAAGCTATGTATAGATGGAGAAGTAGAAAGACAAAAAGAAGTGGACCCCTGACAACCACTGAATCATCACACCAGCCTTGCAGACCTGCCTCTGGTATTTCTTTAACTGTCTTGTTTAAGCCCTTTTTATTTCCAGTATCCGTTGCTAGCAGCTACATGCAATACCTCAATGGTACACAGGGGATAAGTTGCTAACACTATAAGGCAGGAGCCTTTGGCACACGGGGGCCCAGGATGTAGTCAGATGGTGAGTGTCGTGGGAGAAAGTAACCCAGAGAAGGGCCAGAGCCAGGCCTGCAGCCTCCCTCCTTTGTGCGAAGGAAGACATACCCACCCCTAGTGTTCCTCAGGAACCCAGGGCGCCAGGCCCAGCTCCTTCCTAGGATGCGGCTCTGTGGGCACTGGAGTAAAAGGAGGGCTTGCTAGGGGGTGGTAGCCCCAGGCCCTTGGCTGTCCAGCTGGGGGCCACTACCACCATCCCTGGCACTGGCCTCTGATGTTGCCTGGAGTGTGGCCAGGGCCTGCCTTGACACTGTCTGCTCACTGCGCACCTGGGGCCCTGCCTGGATGCCCCACACCACCCCTGACTGACTGTCTGCAGAACTCCATGAGGGCACCACCTGGGGCTCAGCTGCTCCAGTCAGGAACAGGAGCTGCCTAGACCCCTCCGTCTGCCTCTTCCCCAGCCCCACCCCTGACCACCGGGCCCTGGTGATTCAGCCTCTCTCAGAGCAGACCACCTCCCTCCATTCCCACCTTCACCTTGCCAGTCCCAGATGCCGCCAGGTCTCACCTGCACATGTGCAGTCACCTATCCCTGGCGCCCTGACTATGATGGTCCACCCCGGTCCATGCCACAAACATACCAGTATGACTTTTTAAAATCACAGACTGAGGACTAGACAATGTCATACTTTCACATGCCCTGCAAGGCCTGAGGATGGGCCAGTGTCTTCTCTCTCTGCTCCCCTGCTGCCCTCTATGCTCCCTTCCCCCAAAAGAACTTGTATCAAGTTCCTGGATGTGCTAAGTTCTATCTGGCCTCAAAGGGCCTTTGCATTCACTGTCCCCTCTGCCAGGAACACTCTGACTCTCCCTTCTCCCTCCTTCTCATCATCTAACTCTCATCTAACCTTCAAGGCCCCAGTTCAACAGCCTGACTCCTCTATCCCAAAGATTAGATCAGATGCCCCCGCAGCGGCTTCTTATAAACTCTGCCCTTTTCATAACAAGGCCCCCAGCTGTAATGAATGTGTTTGTAATCACTTGTTCATTACTGGGTCCCCCACCAGGATGTAAGCCCTACTGTATCCCAGCTCTCTGCATAGGGCCTGGCACTTAGCAGGTGCTCAATAAGTAGCTCTCGAATGAATGAATGAATGACATAACAGGTTCAGGCTGTCAGTTCACAAGCATCCCAGCCTTGTGCAGGCTTTCTATGGACTGAGCCTAGGATGAGAATATGGGGAAGGGATCTCAGGGTCTTGGGAAGGCCACAGTGTCCCTTCCTCCCTCCTCCACATTCCCTCAACAGTCACCTCTCTACACCTTGACAACCTCTTCCCCAGCCACAGCTGTCTAGCCCCTGTCCCATCACCAATGGGAGTGAGGCTTGGAGGCTGGCAGATTTGAGTTCAAGTCCCCTCTCCAACACTCCAACAGGCCCTTGGGCAAGGCTTGTCCCTTTCTCATCTGTCGAGTGGGGATGGGGCAGTACCTAGCCCACAGGTAGTGGTGTGGGCATGGAGCCTGGTACCTAGTAGGACCCCAGGCCTCATTAGCATCAGGGCTCTAATTTGTCCATTCCATTAGAGTGTGTGGTCACAGGGGTGTTCTGGGGACCCTGGCCAGCTGGTCCTCTGAGCCTCTCCCAGAGTTTCAGACTGCATCAGACAAGTTTCCGTTGTCATAACAACCCACTGGCTTTCTACTGCCTGGGCCTGAGGCCCTGGTGGTTGCTGTTGGTTCCTAGCCTGGGCTTGCTCACCTCTTGGCAGCCGGGCTACCTCTCCTGCAAGGGGCTTCCCGGCTCCTGGCATGGAAGCCCCTGTCTCTTGACTCATCTGTTTCAGTCCCACTTCCTGAGCCCCTCCTGAGCACCAACCTTCTTGCTGGGCATGCACACATGTCATTACCCCAAATCCTCAGCAACCCTGTGAGGGGGCACAGCCATATCTCTTTTATACTAAAAGGAGCAGAGTCTCTAAGGGGGGAAGTGACTTTTCGGAGGGCACACAGCTTAGGCGCAGCAGACAAGGATGGGAAGCCTGGAGGTCTCGCACTACTCCTGTTTCCTTTTCCAGGATGCCCTTGGCCTCTGTCCTGTCACCTAACCAGAGCCCTCCTGGGTGGTTCTGGGTCTTAGCCATCTCCGAGTCCCCAGCATCTGCACACACACCTCGTGCCATCAGTGTCTGCATCCTGCATTCTGCCCCAGCTCTCCTCAGAAAAGACATGCGCTCAAGCCATCCAGACCTTCCAGGGAAGGTCACTGCTGCCTCATCGTTCCTGGAGCATGTCTTCCAGGGCAACATGTAACTGCAGAGGCCTAGTGCCATTAGTTTGAGTTGGTTTTTCTCCCCCCAAACACTCAAGGTGGAGTTAAGACTCCATTTCTGAGTCAGCAAGGCTGGCCCCCTTCCCAGCCCTGCAGCCAACCCAATATTTTTTCTCTGAACCAGAGGGACTTGGGGGCACGTGAGCAAGACACTAGTGTTTGGGATGTTGAGGGACAGAGTGGTCTGAAGCTCCATGCATTCAACCAGCCATTCTTCCATCCATCCATCCATCCCTGTAACCATTCATCTATTTACCTGTACCCATTCATGCATCACTGCACTCTCCCATGCCTGTATCTGCCATCTGCTGACATGTACCGATCCATCCATTCATCCTCTCATTCCTCTATCCGTCCATCCACCCATTCACCCATGTATCATTCCTCCGTTCCTTGCATCTTGTATCCATGCATCCCTCCATTGACATGTGTCCATTTGTGCACAGATCCACCCTTCCATGCCTCTACCCATGCATTCGTCAATATACTCGTTCACCTATCAACCTGCTCTTCCTGTATCCATCACCCACCCATCCATTCCTATATCCATCATCTTACTGACATGTATTCAAGTATTCACCCATCGCCCCTAGCATCCATGCATTAACTGTATCCATTTATGCATCCACCCATTTCCCATGCCTACATCCACCCATCCTGATATGTACTCCTGTATCCATCCATCCCTTTATCCATCCATCCACTGACATCTATCCAACCATCATTCCACTCTTAGATCTTCCATCCATTCGTCTATCCATCCTGCCATATGCATCAGAAACCTATCCTCCCTCCACCCATGTGTCCACTCGTTGATATTTTGTTCTATCCATTCAGTCCTATATCTGTATCACCTCTTCACCCATTCACCGAGCCTTCCTTACCTCTCTTGCCACATATATCCACCAGTTTCTCCTCCCATCCATCTATCCCTCCAGCTTTCTACTCCACCGATCAGTCCTGTTACATGCCTCCCATCATCGTCCATCTACCCACCATCCACCCATGCATCCCCTTTAATATGCCCCACATTCCTTCTCTGCCTTGTGTGCCTCTTAATCCCAGCTCACACGGCCCATGGCATGACTGGAGGTTTCTGTGTCTGTCTCCCCCAGGCAGGGCACAGGCCTGATACATCTCCATTCCTAACTTGGCTCAGGGCCTGCTGACAGCACGAAAGACTACAGTTCCCTGGCCTGGAAGCTGCTGTACTGTCCTCCAGACTCATGGCCTGCTGGCTGGGGGTGGGGTGGGTAAGGAAATCCCCCAGCAGCTTTCTAACACCTGCCATGCTGGTCGGGGTCCATGTCTCCCAGCAGACTGAGCTCTTGAAGGGGTGAAGTCTGGGTCAGATTCACCCAACTGGCCCCAGTGAGCAGCGCAGAGTGGGTGCTCAGGGAGCATACAATGTGAATGTCGAATTCGTCCACTATTCACTCACTCACTCACTCATTCATTCCTACAATGACTGAACTAATGGAGACAACTCTGGTCAGCTTCTCCCATCACAGTCTACTGTCTGGTGCCTG